ATAAGTAATAAAATAAGTATTGTTTTGTAAATTATCTTTTCTTTGAATATATACTGTATTGGAGATAGAAGTGGCAGACATAAGATTTATTCTTCTGTTACCTTTCATTTTATTTAGATTTTTTTGATTTCTGTATTTTCTTAGTTTCTATTGTATATAGTTATTTTGTTTTAAATGAAATTAATACCTTTTTAATTGAAATTGAATTGAATTAATTTGTTTCCCATATTTTCCAGCCTTCCCCAGCTGCAGGCCTGGTACTGAATTCAGCTGCTCAAATGGACGATGCATCAGTTTCAAGTGGCATTGTGATTCCGGTGAGCGCTTTTAAAGCTTTGGCGTTTTCCCATAAAACTACCCACTGACAAACGTTACATGCATCAGTTATAGTACTGTTGAATGGTCAAACATTTGATACCATGTCTATAGATAACGACTGCGGTGATGGCAGTGATGAAGCGGGCTGCGTCCAGACCTGCTCTAAAAGTCAGTTTCAGTGCACCAGTGGCCGTTGCATCCCAGATCACTGGGCTTGTGATGGCGACAACGACTGCGGTGACTTCAGTGATGAGAACACAACCTGCCGAGGTGGAACTGTGTGTAAGTGTGTCTGTGTAGCTTTTTAACATGTAAAATGACTGAATGAGTCAGAAAAGCGGGGACAAACACATACCCTAAAAAAACTCTTTTATACCTGTACTAGTATAACAGAGTAAAGTCGCAGAAAAACTATACGACAGCTCCTTTATTAGCACATTCATCCCTTTCTATGTGCTTAAATATGTTCCATAATAAATGGAATTTTGTTTGAATTCAGGCATTATATGTGACCCATCACATTGAAATGAGGATTAAGTCTAAAAGTGGTATAATGGAGAAATAGGCAGATGTAGTGTTTTGATTAAAATGTTAACAAAAAATTGCATTTTGTCAAAGTATAATGAATAAAAGCCTTATCAATGTATAATTTAAATGAACTGTCTGAAATATAATCATAAAACAAAATTTTGAAGCACTTTTTTCAGAGTAGCAACAAAAAAACTGATTTTGAGGAAAACACCATTAAATTTTAGATTTTCCCTGTGAGCTAGCAAAGTTTTATTTCATTTCAGTTGGGAAATCTCAAAATTCAAATATAGTTTATAGGTATCAAATATAGTCTGTTTATAGGGACATCAAAAATTCCTCATTAAAATGACATAAAATTAGGATTCAGACCAAATATTCATGTATTTTTGTAACCAACAAGACAAATTAAGTCAGACATATGGATTTACTTATGGTATCAGGACGATCCAGGTATCAAAATGTAGCTTTTAAAGCCAAGAATCTGAAAATGTAATGAGGTTGTTTTGACCAAATTTGACTTAATCCTCATTTCGATATGATGGGTCACATATTTACTTTTCTGACTTTTGTGTGAAGAAAACTGCACATGCTTATATGTTGGGGAACATTACCCTCATTATTTGTATCATTTACTCTAATTATTTTAGAAAGTTAATGAAAGGTCCCAGAAACCTCACAGCTCACTTGCTTGTCACTAGAATGTGGTGACAATTCATCAAACTGTACCCTTGATTGAACTGCAGGACTCAGTCCCGTTGTGTCTGACTCATGGGTTGAATGAGACTCAGTGTTGTTTCTGCTGTTTGGGAAAGTGGCTTTTGTCTTGAAGAATGAGGCAAATGGTTCATTGGGGTATTAACATCAAATAAAGTATGTAATGAATGATTCATATCGCGAGCCATTGTGGCATTATTGTTTGGAATTTCACTAAATGAGTACAAATTACCATTTATGTGTGTGTTTGTGTCTGTGTGTGTGTGTGCATAAACACAAGCAAAATATGTCCCTTGAATGTTGTTAACCTTTCAGCTTCTAAATGATCGGCTCCTAAATATACAGCGGGTAAAATAAGTACTGAACACGTCAACATTTTTCTCAGTAAATATATTACTAGAGGTGCTAATGACATGAAGTTTTCACCAGATGTCGGTAACAACCCAAGTGATCCATACATACAAAGAAGTCAGACATAAATGTCCAGAAATGAAGTTATTTGTAATAATGTGGAATGGCACAGGGAAAAAGTATTGAACACATGAAGAAAGGGAGGTGTAAAAAGGTATGGAAAGACAAGACACCAGCTGAACTCTCTCAGTAATTAGAAACCTGCCCCTTGTCAGTGCAAATTAATATCAGCTGGTTCAGACCCAAATGA